GTTTTTTTACATAACCATAAATTGGTACTGGCAGTAAATATATATAGTACTCAATAAAAAAAGGGTAATAATATTTTAACCCCACCATTGGTGGACTGCAACACCTTCATCCCTGAGCATACCATATAAAGCTAAACATTCCCAATATGCCCTCCTACTTTTCTCACCCCCCTTCTTGATCCCCTGATGCTTGCACTCCAAGAAAAGCTCATCCACCAGCCTGATTGCCCTGCTCTTCACCATCTCCTCCGCCACCTCCGCCACCGTCTTCATCACCACGTAGTCCTTCTCCTCCACGTTCTTCCTCAGCCACTCCGACATCCCCCCGCCCCCCGCCTGGCCTTCCGGCGGCGGCGACTCCGCCCCCGCGACCGCCTCGATCTGGAACGTCTCGAACTCCGCGTTCCCCGCGGGGTAGTGCTTCGCGAACCACTCCGACGCGGCAGCCGCGGCGGCGCTCTTTTCCCCGGACAGGTAGCTCACGTCGATGAACACCCTCCTTGGGTAGTTCTCCAAGGAGACGCCCATCAGCTCCGGCAAGTACCTCGTCTTCTTCCGGTACGCGTTTGATTTCCCCGACGCTGCCCTTGGCGGCTCAAGCAGGACGTCTTCAAGCCTCTCGAGGGCCGCGGCCTTGGCGTCCGATTCCGTCGCCGCCAGTAGCCGCCGCCCCTTCAGACCGTTGCGGCATCTGATGACATCATCATCACACGCCGCAACTGCAGCATCATTGCTGCTGTCACTACCAGTAACCGCAGCAATGATGCTGCTGTCAGCATCATTGCTGCTGTCACTACTAGTAACCAGAACAACACGGTCGTGCTTTTCGACGATACCCTCATTAAAGGCGTGGTTCAGATTATTAGACCACGACGACGACGACGATGATGATGATACATTCAGCCAAGGAAAAGAAACCATAATAACCGCCAAAACAACGGAACGAGCAACCAGCCTCAGAAACCGAGGATCGCAACATTTGGCGACGGGGGAAGGAGAAGGGAGGCCATAAATCAATTTCTTCTGGTTGTTTGATTGGGAATCAAAGAGAAGACCCATTTCCATTTCTTTCAAACCCATTGTTAATTATTAATAGTATATAAATATCTCTAGACTAGACTTGCAAATAAATCTATAGGGAGACTTGAAAATTCAAAGAAAGAAAGAAAGAAAGAAATCGAAGCAGAGAAATTTGTGGGAGGAAAGCTGGAGAAGACGATGAAATTAGCGGGTGCAAAACCTGGCAGCGGTGTGATTACCACCCACAAGGGAAACAGGATTGTTGTGAGACCTCAAACAGAGAACCAACAGATCTTTTAACCTCTGCAACTCCATTTCCTAAAGCTACACACTGCCTTCCTTTTTAAGGTTTCCAGATTGATGATGTTTTTGGGTTATTCTTTTTCTCTTTTTTTTCACATATGGATAAACTCCATCGAAGCACCGATTGGAGAAGGGAGGCAGGCGAGGAGGAGGGGGGGAAGAAGAGCTAGGAGGCACACACAACTTCTAGGAGGGGGATTATTGAGATGTTTTTCTTTAATGGATTTTTTTTGGTTTGGACAAGGAAAAAGGGCATATAACAAAGAATCATGAGGCTGCAAAGGATGAGGTGGTTCGGTTGGCTAAGCATGAATTTCTCTACCCCGCAAAGGAAAACCGTCGCGTTGGAAATTGTGTCCAATTGAGCTCAAAAGATTTGTTCTTTTTATGTGGCGAAGATTGAAGAAGGATGCATAGAGAAAAACTAATGCCACCATAATAGGAAGCTTGATAGATAACGACAACGGTAAAATGGTTTTTTTTGGGAGAGACCATTTCCTTCCTGCCAAACACTCCCTAAATGTTTTTTTCCCGTGTTGAGGGTGGTAAGAACTTAGCAGCTTGTTTTGCATGAATGTATGATGTTAGCTAATAACTCAAGACAATTAAACATTACGTAATTGGGAATTTCCAAATATGGGATAAAAGTGATGATGAGGTTGTTCATTCATCTAAAATGCACTTCAATTAATCAATCTATGGAATTCTACCATGTAATACAATGTAGACATGATGTATGTCCGTGTTCATTCTACTTTTGGTGTACCATAAAAGTCATAATGGTCAGTTAAATGTGAACGGATGTACTAAATGTTTAATCAAACACCCTTCTTAAAATCACATATATCAAGAACTGATCATCCATGTCAAGTTACCATTTCCATAGTAACATTCCATTGCATAACACTTATTCTAAGCTGCAAAATAATTCCGGAATTAGTACACGAATTGTTACCTCTCACATTGGCGATTTTGGCATTGCATAGAAATCTACTGCTACGAAGAAACTACTCATGATTTTCATCATCAAACTCTAACCGGTTTCTGTAAGACAGCAGATAGGTACACCTCCGGCTTTTGGGACCCGCTGTCGCTCTTCTCCCCCACAACCCATTTCAACTTCTTGTACCCAAATCTCTCAATCAACCTAGTGAACGCATTTCGCTTCTGGTCTCCATAACAATACACATTGTCCAACCAAAACAAGCCGCCGGCCCGGAGAACCCTATCAATGTCAAACATCAAGAACTCCAATTTCTCTGCTGGGCTGACACCTATATCCAGCCCATTCCCGGCGCGGACCAAATCAAACACATTGTCGTAAAACGGGAACCGGTGATCCAGACTCAAATAAAGTGGGAAAAGGCCTCTGGAAGCAATGAACTCATTGAAAGGTGCATCTATGTTCAAAGTGGAAGTAACCACAGTGACATTCCTCTCAGCCATTCTGGCTGCAAATGTTCCAGACCCGCCGCCACCCACATCAAACCCAACCCTGATTCCACCATTGTTACCCCCCATCGAAAGCACATCGTCCAGCAAAAAGTCATTCTTGCCCTTAGCTTTAACATATCTCTGAGTCTCATATCCAGAGGACATATCAAAGCAACCTGCACAGTCTCTATTCAATTTCTTAGCATTCAAACAAGCGAAATTCTTGCAAGAAAGGCCACTCCAAGTGTAAACCTTTTCACTATTGCTAGCCTTCCAAATAGAAATGGGAAAAGGTTGTAAACCAGATTTAGGGGTAATCTTTGAAAAGCACCTCCTCCTCGGAAGAGGCTCACAGCCCTTCAAAATCAGATTCTGACCAAGACTCCAATCATCCGGGCAAGGCCCACTGACCTTATAGCTCATGAACTTAGAGAGCAAATCTATGGATTTCTGGCAAGAATGACCCACAGAAGCCACCATTGTAGTGATCCCAGTTCTCGAATCTTTGCCCAGGGGAAGCTGGTGACGAAGCAGGAACATCCTCAGCTCAGGGGCGATGTTGGGCTTAGAAAGTTCGATGCTTTCATAACCTAGAAGCTCTTTCTGGATGTGGGCAACCTTCTTCTGGGTCGAATCGATCTCACTGAGGATGAGGGAGACTTGTACGGAGATGTTATTGTGGGTTTGGTGAAGGAGCTGATGGGTCTTGTTTGGTTGGTGAGTGAAAGCGTATAGAGCGAAGAGATTGGTGGTGAGGACGGAGAAGATCATGAGAAGATTCACAGCTGATGAGCAAAGGGAAGCCCTTTTCTTGAATCTAGCTGTCCCGTCTCCGATTTTCAGAGAAACAGACCCCATCTTCTTAAGCTCGTCCCAAACACGCCGGAGAAGTTCAGTGAGGGCGGCGCGCGGCGGCGGTCAGTGGGAGATCTGGGGAAGCAAATAAGGATTCAAACTAAAATAGAAAGAGAGATGCTTTTTATGATGATGATGATGATGATGCATTTGGGTGTTTCCCCATTCTCGTGCCAGAGATTCTTGAAGTCACCAAAGTTACCGGGTAGTAAGGTGGCGGCGTATTATTTACTGGATTTCCGTTTCTCTTGTGTCCGGAAGTCTCTGCCTTTTTCTTTGGAAATTTAGTCAAAACTAAAATCGATGAGCTTTTGTAGTTAACATCGAAAATTGTAGAGAACAGTTTAAACCGATTTGAGAAAATTGATTTCAGTTATTTTTTGACAATTTTGGTTGATTTTGACCTCTCATATACTTTTTCGAAAATATTTTATTTAAAAATTAGTATAAGAAAAAAAAAACAAAACTTACACATTAAAAAATAACGTCAAAATTTCTACAAAATAAGAGATGACGCAAAATTTTATTTTATCAAATAATTAATAGAAATACACAAATAAACAAAAATTATCGAATGATGAGAAAAAAAAATTACAATCAATTTCAGGACCGTAGGGGTATTTTACTGGAAATCTTAGATTAATATAATAATTTACTCCATCTGTTAACAAACCATATTTTAGTTCAATATTCGCATAGTAAAACTTTATTCACTTTATTTACTAATCTTTGTTGCTCATTTGATAGAATATTATGAGTACAAAGTTTAAATACATCACTTCTAGGTTTGTACTAGTAGATCTTTTAATGTACTCGGGTAGTTTTTAAACACATTATTTCAATTTTTAATTACACGCTAATTTTCATATAAAATGAATAAAAAATAAATTCGATCAAATATAAATTGTGAACAAAGGGAGTATCAATCTTCATATATAAGGAGTAAGTAAATTGATTAAAAATGGATAAATAAATGGTTATTATTATATTTTTAAAATGTTTATATAGGATCTAAAGTTCATATAAATTATTAGATGCACCTAAAAATTTATCATTTTAGATGGATTAAGCACAAAGCTTATAAGTCACCAATCGAACCTCCTATGGTAGAATGGTTTTCATTGTTTCAAATTTTGACCAGTTCAATTTTTATCAAGTTTAATTTAATCAATTTTTTCAACTTTAAAAGAATAAGACAAACTACATGCTTATGGAAGTGTAAAACAAAATTATAGTCCTTGGCTTGTGACATTGGGGACCAAAACAAACTTCGATGACTAATGTTTCTTTATATTTTCTCTTAAAAAAATAATTAGACATTCTCTTAATAAAAACATGATAAACCAAATTTACAAAAAAGACATGTGAAGTACAATGTATAATGTAAAAGGAAAAGCAAAGTGATAGCTACAAGTGGCATACATACTACATACAATTGGACATGGCTGAATGGAAGTTGTGGAAATGGATGAAGCTATACATACATATCAAAAGACAAAAATGAGAACATGTCTTTCTTTACAAAGGCTCTTCGTGTCAGCATTTCAAGATTCTAGGAACACTTGAAACAAAGATTTGATAATGAGCGTGAGCCACTATATCTAACTGTACTTGAAAACAAAAACCAACAAAAATTAGAATCTCTATTGATCCAATAGGCATTTTGCTACACCCAAAAAAGGGCACCACGCTTTGCTCCAGACATATATACTCATTCAGCACCAGCAGGGAATGGAATGGAAGCTGGTGCAATGGTTCAAGGACAACAAATTTGGAAAGCTTGCTAATCATCTTCCAGTGTTGTTGTCCCCGAACAAATACATCAGATGCTATAATGTGGTTAATGCAAGAAAAAAAGAAAACCAAAAACCAAAAGGAATGGCTTCAGCATCACCAAGGTGTATCATCTGGAAGCTGTCCTAGGGGGCACCTTATTTCGGCTTTTCTCAGGGAAACTTTCTGTTTTATCACGGTCCATATTATTATTGTTGTTGTTGTTGTTGTTGCTATTATAATTGTTGTTGTTATTACTACTATTATTGTTGTTGTTATTAGTATTAAGCCCATCTGAGCTCCTTGATGTATCTTGAGGAGTTTGAAGTGATTGTTGACCATCCACATTCTGTACAGCAGCTTGGTTGCTGTTTGGGTCTCTATGTTCTGATGAAGAAGGGCTGCTTTCGAATATGTTTTGCAAGGATGGGGGAGGGTCTGACCCTTTTCTCTCAATCGACCAGGCAGGCTGCCCAGAATTCCTCTCCTTGTCAAGTGGTTGGGCCTGATTTCCAACTTGAGTGTTGCGTTCTTTCAAGAAGTTGAGCCGGTTCGTTAGCTTTGACAGTGCTGAAGTCGCTGTCGCCCCCTGCCAGTCATTCAAAGATGTTTATAAAGATATGATTCACAAAAAATAAATTGTGCAATTTATTAACCCAAAAAAGAAAAGATGAATGTTTAAAGCATGCCTCATTTTTCGAGCCAGATTTCTTGGAATTGGTTGATGAAGAAGAAGAAGAAGAGGAAGGCCCCTTCACAGCCAGCAAAGATTCAACAGAGGCAGCGAATGAAGCTGCAGGAGAGTTAAAATTCAGCATCGGTTTATTCGCTGATGGCTGAACTTCACTTTTCTTGTCCCTGTCACTTTCTGCTTTCTCCTTTCTGTAGCCACATGGAGAGAAAGTCATCAGCAGCCCAAATAAAAAAGGAGACGGTATTAAAATGCGACTCCAAACTTTTTTCCTCTTTTCAGGTCCCGTTTGGTAGCATTAATCAGCGTTTGACTTAAACTGGTTTTCGTTTAGGCTGAAAAAGAACTCCTACCAAACGGACCCTTGAATGGATTTTTTCTATTTGGGAGGTAGATGTGGTGGGAGTGAACATGAATGGCAAAAATAACATAGAGAACCAACCCAAGGGAATGATAATGATGACATTACATTTTTCCTTGATGAGTCGTTTTTTGGCGCGCTTGATTCCCCGAATCAATATGAAACCTGGAGTTGTGTTCTCTCTGCTCATTGAGTTCTGCTTCGATATCAGCGGCCTTCTGTTTCAAATTCATAACATCTGCCTCGGCTTGAGCAATCTCTTCCAGCTTTGCTTTCACCTGTTGCAGGCAACAACGAAAACTGTTATAGTTTCTGGTCTTAGCATAGTAACAATGGATGGAGATGGGGTATGAACTGACAGCTTTGCTGATACTGGAAGGTATGGACAATGATCCTTGAGGATTGATAAGTCTGGCTTCCAGTATCACCCTCAGCTCCTGTTCCTTCTCCAATAGATCCTGAAGCCTTGCAACCTGGTTATTACAAGCAGAAAAGGAAAAAATAAATATATTCTTTCAATTTGGATTTATAGTAGAACCTGTTTCTGTTTGCCAAATATAGCTACTTCTATTCATTTCGTTCGGACATTGCACCATTCTACCAAGAGAGCGTTTGGGATATAACTTATTACAAGAGAATTCGTGTTTTTCATAGGAAAAAAAGAATGTTTACTTTTGGCATTTTAGTGCTTAAAGCAATAATAATAGAAACACTTCATGTCTACAGAAAAAAGTACTCTGTTCAGAAAGAAAAGAAGCACTAGATGAAACAACATACTTCTTTCTCTAGAGTTAGACGGCGCTCATGCAAGGTATTCTTCTGTTTCTCCATACTTTCTTGAAGATCTGCATTCACCTTAGCCTATCAAGACAAGGTAAAATTGCAATACCAAAGCATGAGCAATAAAATAAAATTTTAAAAAAAAAATCTTTAATGAAGAGCCTATGAAGTCTCTAAGTGAAAAATGATGGATACCTCTTTGGTGATTCTGTTTCGTAAGTCAGTATTCATGGCCTCAAGCTTCTGGATTTCAGCACTAAAATAAAGAAACGATAGAAACAGAATATCAAAATTCTTGTCAGTGTCTTGGTGCAGATGAGAAGAGCTCGTGGAAGATTACAAATAAAGGAGAGAGATTGTACAAGAAGATTGTTTTTTTTTTAAATATTGCTGCAAATAGATGGAATTGTCACATTCTACCAACAATACCAATTCTGAATACTAAATTGATTTTTATATTCAATGCAAGGCACCTAACATCCTAGAAAGCAATTTAGTTCATAAAGATCTAGATGAAGATAAATCTAAACATCACCAGCATTTATAGACAAGTGAGAAAAGTCCACGAAAATTTATAGTTAGCCTAACACGATATAAAAGGTGGTGAGCTGCAAAAGAATCATAGTTTGAATCCACAATAGCTTTCCTAAAAAGAGAATCACTTACTCATCATCAAGGGGGGTATTAACAGATTCCACGGAGTGGTTCTTCTTGGCCTGTGTTGAAGGAAAGACTAAAACATGAAGACCATTTCTACCAATAGTAGTTCAAATGTGAAAACTTACCTAGAAAACAGTGAGGTACTAGACATGATTTTACATTAAGAAACAGTACAATCTAAAATGACAATGGAGTTAAAGAAGTTAAAGAAAGAGAATCTTGGACTAAATCCAAATGACATAAAATTTACCTTGCTTTTTACCTTCAATGAAGTTTTGAGTAGTAAATAGTAAATACAACAATGCATCAAGGGTTTAACAAAAAAAACAATCACTCTGTTTTAAAGGGGTAAGACTGCATACATTTTGAATCCCAGACCCCAATGGAGTTGGAATTATGCTGGGATTTGTTGTTGTTGTACAGTTTAAACAAAAGAAAAAATGGGAATGAATAGTATACACCCAAGTAAATAGGGCATGAACAGACGAAGAAATGAGAACAAGATTGGGACTTCATTGGAGATAGTAAATGTCATCTAAAAGATATCTTAGTACTCACATGAGATGCATCCGTAGATTTTTTAGAAGGGGACGAATCTGCATTTTCTGCCTTGGGTTCAGTTTCTGGCCTCGTAGGTGTTTCTTGCTTTACAGATGTTTGAAGGGCTACTGGTTGAGATTTGTTATTAACTTCAAGAGCATTGCATGCTTCAGGTGACTTGGGACTAGAGACCTGTAGCACAATAAGTTTTGGAATACTAGAGAATGGTTGCAAAATGAAAAGTAGTAATGAAATCTATGATTAACATGCTAAACGAATGACATAACTGAGACTGAATGTTGATGCTCTGACAGAAAGCATGATATTTTTAAATTTTATCTTCTTTCTTTTTTTGCTTTTGCCTTTTAGTCTTCGAAACATTCTTCTATAAACATACACCTTTTGAAATGCAAAACTTATACGTTGGCAATTGGCATAAGAGTTTAAATTATTGTTTGACCAACCACGAACCAAAGATAGGTTCTCCCCCAATCAGTTCAAGATTTGAAAGATGAAAACTTTGGCCCTGAATGATTGAAATTATCAATAGACTTGAAAACTCGTGAATTTTCGGCATTTAATATATAATCCGTGAAAAATTTCATTAACAATTTACAACTTTATTAAATATAAAATGTGTTTAACGTAGCAGAGTATTATATTATTTGCATTTATTTCCTTCCATAGTTTAGAAGTTCTTTTTATTTTGAGAATGACTTATGGTGGTATTAGGAAAAGAGTTATGGTAGGATTTGATGTTTTCCATAATTAGAAGATATCCCATACTTGGATTCAGAAATCAATAACAGAAATGTTATTCTTCTTAATTCTTCTCAATTATTAACAAAATGATTAAAAATTCACAAAATTCTAGCCTTAGGAAGTTTCAATCATTCAGTTCCTAAATCGATACTTTATATATTGACCATTGATCGATAGCTAAACTATCGTTCGGTTTCAAGATTTTAAAAAACTCCCAGAGAGAGATACCCGATTATACCACACATGATAACTAGATGACTACCATGGATGACTTGATAGGCCTCTATGTCATACGATGAGGGTAACATGAACAAACCTTGCTAGCACCTTCATTTTCACCAGTCTGACTAGTAGCTCTAGATGCGTGCTCAGAATTATTTGTTATTTCTGCATCAGACCCCTCTTCAGCACTATCCCCTTCTTCATCTTCTTCCTCTTCGTTGTCATCATCATAATCACTACCTTCATAGTTTCCATCATCATCAGTAATTTCTTCACTACCGCTTTCACTACCATCTGAGTCAGAGTAGAGTTCAGTTTGCACAGAGCCTTCCTGCGACCAGTTCAAATGATAGTTGATCACATGTAAAGAAAGGAAATAAAGCAGACACTAAAAGTATTACCATGCATGGAAGAAAGAGCGATCTCAAGATATGTGTGAAGACTTTAGAGATGCATAAAATAACTGACTTATTATAAACCATACCCCAAAAATCTTATCATACTCTTCTAGCAAAGTGATGACAATAGCTTGAGCATGGTTTGCTGCGGCAGCTGCTTGCAGAAGTTGAATAGAGCCATCGCCACCCATATCAAAGTTATGTTCAAGTTCGCACTCTCCAGATAATAGAGGACGCAGTAGCAAAGGCGCCATGCAAGCAGCAACAGCTGAAGTGCTCATCCGGTTCTCGTTCTTGTGAGAAACCACATTTCTCATCATTACAAGAATTCTGGTCCACAAAGGCAAGATTTATTTTTCAAAATTTAGTGCTTGAAGTCAAATGTAAAAAAGGAAAATAATCAAAACAAAAGTATACGCCGAAACCCAACAGCATATATCTAGTATATTCGAGCAAGAAATGTTAGTGTTTTTGATAGAGGTGTAAACGAGTAAAATCTCTCAGTTGAGCTCTACAACCACTAATAATAAAATAAGAATGCTCTGTAGAGTCTGTATATTGACCTTTAATAGCTTTCTTGCCATATGCACAAGGTATTAAAATGAGCAAGAAAATGAAAGGCATCAAATTAATATATATGACACCTTTGTAATAAACGTCGATTTGGCTCAGGAAAAGTCTCCAGTATAGCTGAGTGAATAGCACTTACTCTCATACCACGCTCAACTCCTAACAGTAATAAATATAAAATTATTAAGTTAATACTAATTAATAAAAGATCTGATATAGTATACAGATGCAACCATCTTTTTAAATTCAAAACACTATACGATGTGTACAGCAATCTCAAGGCCTGACTACTATACTCCAGATTTCCCATCACTAAGTTTAAAAGTAACATATAATACATGCAGTCAAAATAGGATTGTGAACATGAGCTGTGTTACCCCTATAAAAATCAGGGAGGCTGTTTTTGTTAGACCTGTGATGTGTTCATTGTCTTCATAGAAAGTAAAGGGCAAGCTAGGTTTAATGTGTGATTTTGATTTAGTCCATTTTACCCCCGAACCTAAAACTTTATTGAAATTGACTCTTTTATCTACATTGGCAATGGATGTAACTTAATAGTACATTAATTTGGTTTCTACAAAGAATTTGACGTATGTCAAACTAAACAAAAAGATGCAAGTCTGTGTGCAGCCCAGCCTGGTAAAAATACAACAAATTATGCCATTCTAGCCAAAACTTAATCATCCTCCATCACAATTATCTCTACTTTATTCTGTAAAAACATAACACATGCCTAGACTCTGTAATAGATAATTTCGTAATGGAAAAATGGAGAGAAACTTACGGCAAGATTCTAACAGAGCATTGCAACAAGATGCAGGAACTGGAGATGATGGTAACTCCCGGAGTATATACTGGAGCAAATAAAAATATTAAAGATGAGAAAAGTCTATACAAATATTTGACATACACATCAATTATAATTTTCATAAAAGGTTATACCTTGACACAGTCAGCTATGACATGTGCATCCTCTTCGGCAGAAAACTCAATTTTCCCTGGAAAACACCACACCCAGCTACTACTTTTCAAAAGATCCATTTTCCAAGCATGATTTGTATAGTTTTAAGCAGCTTAAATGCACTTTTAAAGCAAAACTCCCCCATCTAGTTCTATACTACCATATCTTTATTATAAATCATTTACCAACAAAACCCCAAAGCGTCGATTAGAAGCAAATTGCAAAGTCAGACCTTTTTCATACTCTCGGATCCGACGCTCAACATCATCAACATATGCGGCTTGCCGCAAGATACCTTCAACTTTAACTCCTGAAAGATAATGTATTGAATCCATCATCATCTAACAATATGCATATAAGAAACAAAATATAGAACTAATAAAGACAGTTTGAGAATTCGTTTCTAAAAAAAATAGCTTCCTAAGCAGTCACTTTCATCATTAGAATTTTTACGACAGCCTCTAAGTAAGAAAAGGGCAGGTTATGCTTAGGTCCCTAGAACCCATAGTCAGATCAAGTTCACACAAGGAGCATGAAAATTCTTTATATCTTTTTTGCAGGTCTCCTTTTTAAGAGAAACTATGGTTAGTGCTTCAGCTCAACATCTGCATTGTACAGTTGTTGTCTTGTTTCTGTTTTGGCTAAGTTGAGTGCTTTGAAGTAGTCATGCAGGGTGACTTGACTAAGAACTGTTTAGTTACAAATTTACAATTAGATTTTCATTTAAGCGCTGAGCCACTGGCAACCTTTAAATGCTCAAGATAGCCTTCCTCAAATACATAAGAAACAGTATTTTTATTTTGCTGAAGATACATGACACCAACATCAAGCTAAAGCAAGTTTAGGTCTCTTGAAATAAAGAGAGGGATACGTTTTTAGAAAATAAAGGCATAAAAGCACCAGGAAACTTTACCATGTTCTTCTACAAACCTAAGAGCTTTCTCCAAAAATGACGGAGTCCCATCTATACCTTCCAAAGCAAGTAAAACTGGCTGACCAATGACCAAAGATTTCACAGGTGATTTGTCCTTGGCTACAGAGTGAAAAAGAATGTGGTTTGAATTTATATCCATAAGAAATATATTCAAACACTTAAGAAAAATCATTTTCGACAAGTAGAACTGTAAGGTAACAATAATCGTGTACATTTTGAAAAATGCATAGCAGTCAAACTGAATCACCAGGAGAAATTCATTGCAGTCAAACAGCTATATATCATGATTCTAAAAGATGATTTTTTGTAGGAAAGCTCCTGAATCTAATACCGTAGTATATGTTTGCAGGAAATAACATTGTTTTGTAGAAAACAAAACCAAGCCCACTTTTACTAGAAGTCATCCTATATGGTAAGAGAAAAAAGTAGAATTGAAACTGAAAGTATTTTGGAGTACAAAGCTACAAATAAAAACATGTGTATTGAACTTGATTTGGGCACTACTTCTTGTAAGTGTTGCACTTCATATGACATGTAAATTGAATGAGATCTGAAAAAGTGAAAAGAAACATTATTTTTTCACAACATAGAATTTCCAAATGGAAAAGCAAACCCATCTTTTCATTTCCTTATTTTTTGTTCTTACTACTTCTGACAACCTTGAAGTTGTCATAGTACATAAGGAAATGACAACAACAACAACAACAAACCCAGTAAACACCCTACTTTTTGTTGTGTTTGTCGTCGTTGTCATAGTCATTGTCATTTCCTTATGTATTAGAGAGCTTCAAGGTTATCGAAAGTAGTAAGAACAAATCAATTATAACGGCAATGCCAATACCGGGGAGGGAATAAACAACATTCGATAGGTCATTTGGCCTTTGAAAACATTAGCAAAGCACTTACATTGTTCTGAGGAAACATCAACCGCATTTGTTTGATCATTCCTGATTATTCCATTTTGTCCCACAATGAGAGTAGCACTTGGGGAATTTACCAAAGCTTCTTCTAGTGCAGCCTTCCACTCAAGCAAGTCTTCTGATGTTTCAGCCTAAGATATCAAGAGCACTCAACATGAGACAACAACTCAGAGGGCATATTATACACAATCCTAATATAGAAATCTATCATATCCTCCTACTTCCTAATCCCTACCAAATTATTAAAATAAGAGAACAAGAAAACAAGAGCTGAGCAGAACAAAGATATAAAATGCTACAAACTAAACAAAGATAATTAGAATAAATCCCATTGCAAAAAAGAAAAATAAAAAATAAACAAAAGGCATAGAAAAAGATTGAACACCTTAAGAGTGAAAGTTCGCCCGTCACGACCATCAGGAAAGAGTACAGTCAGTAGCTTCTTATCTTCTTTGACAAGCACACTGTACATTAATCGATGAGTGATTAAAAAGATAAAACTATTAAGACAGCATACTTTAAGGGAAATAATTTGATTAAAAGTGCATGTGCTAGTAAACTTTGTTGAGCATCATGATAAAAATAAGCTAACCTGCCTGAACTGTTGAGATCGATACCCCCAAGTGTTAAATTCGCTTCACCTACTTTCAATGGGACCGCATTCTAAAACATCCAACCAAATATTTTGTTTAAAAAATGAAAAATAAAAGAATGAGAAAGTAAGAAACCTAGGTGTTAGTGTGTATGTGTGTGTGTCTATGTGTGCATCACAAGCTAATGGTCTAGGAGGTTTATCAAAGAAAGAAATATATCTATACGGATGCTACATGGTAAACTGGATCTGCATTTGTGAGCGGTACATGCTAAATCAGTCAGGCAATGGTAAAGAGCAATAATACCAACAAAGCTTAGTAAATTAGAGCTGAGAAATAAGAAAGGGAAACGCACAGGATCACTTCTAAAGAAGACTAATGAGGTGCGTGTTAAAATGAACCACCTTTTCTTCCAAGAAGTCCATCCAATACCTGCATGCATTCCTAATTAGGACGTTCAAGGACCTTTCCAGAAGCCACCAAATTTCACAGTATAAATGTTTCCTTTTGCAGTTGGTCACACACGGAAGTTTCATTAGAATCTTATAAATGGTATCATAAAGAGAGTTAAGCAATTTTAATACCTTGCATTTTTTGTCACTGGTTGTCCTTTTTTGGAAACATATTAACCCACATCAATTTATGACAAAAAAGTTTCCTACAACCATTCACTTAACTGATCTGAGTTGAGAAAATCATCAGATTTGAAATGACTCGTACTTTCATGTGATAGGCAGTGTTGAGAAGTCCAGCATTTATACCATTGGGAAAGAGAATTTTTTTAATGCAATGTGTTATTGTGGTCAACTAACTAATAGGTTCAATTTGATCTTTTAGCATTTATCTGACAGGATTGGGCTTGACTTTATGATTAAATGAAAGTAAATTAAAATTGAAAAGGTTTGAGTTTTGAGACACCAAATAAGTCATTTTGTCTCATTTAATGCACGATTTCCTGTCTGGTTGAATAAATTATTGGCCCCAAGTGTAGCTAAAGAACGCCAGGAGGAACTATGTTTCAAAACAAAGAGGACCTTAATACATGTGATCTTAAAGAATGAATTTTTTTATGAATGCAAATGCCAAAAGTCAGAAAATGGCTATTAATGCAAATATTCAAGCAATTATAAAGTCCATATATACCCAAGACTTACAACTATACATTCAATAGTACAAACTAATATATACTAATTTGGATTTCTTATTATCCACTAACAAACTTGAGTTTGTAACATTTTACTAAAAAGCTCAAGATTCAACTAATTATGGAGTAAACAGAAGCATCTTGTCAAATGCTTTACCAGCAAAGTTCCCAGCTCACCGAAACGGAGGCAATGTATTACTTTGAAATTCGGAAACAATTATATAGTAGCTAAAAAAAGGAACTTGGAGAGTGAGATATAACTCATAGGTAAATAGACATATAATAAATTCCATGGCAATGTAGTATTATAGCCTAGAAAAGCTCCTTTTGTACCCAATACAAATGCAAAGAAGAGGGCAAACAAACCTTTGGATGATATATACAGGGGACCGCTTTTGTAAACCTGGCAAGGAAAGGCAAAATTGGATTGAACCTTTGAAATGAAAAACAAAAAAAACAAGAGCAATATTTAGCATGCCATTATTACCTTATTGCCCCCGCGAGACTGATCCGGATCCCCGGAGGCAACAGGCTGTGGATTATTAGGCCCTTCTACCTGCAACCCAGGAAAAAAATGACAATGATAAATCTAATACAATGCTGAATTGTTGATGTTGAATCAAAACACCAAAACATTCTGAAAATGAACAGAATAAAAAAAATGGATATGAAACGAATTCGTGCCTGAGAAACATCAATGTTGCGGTTGGTCATGTTGTGAACCAGAATATCGACATTCACAATCTCAAAAGGGAAGAATTTCCCTACCACACATTTCCCAAATGTAACCAGATTCAACTACCAGGCAAGAATCGCCATTTTCGATCGGGAAAAGGTAAAGAAGAAGAAGAAAAGAAAAAAGAATCAGAAAGTAACACAAACCAATTCAACCCATCGACGCATCAATCCGAAAAGAGAACATGAAAAGGATAAGAATTGTGAAGAAAGCGGGGGGCGAAGAAAAGCTTTTCTTTTTTTTTTTCCCCTTGCGAAATGAAGATTGTTTTTTTATTTTATTGAAAATTAAATTAAAAAAATAATGGTTTTTTATTTTTTGGAGGAAATTAATTTCTGGTAACGCCGGCCCCCATGGAATGGAAGACTTTGGTTAACGGAAACCCAAATGTCAATCAGAGCACTGATCTAAAATGAGATGGGAGAAGACAGCGCAATTTCCCCTTTCATTTCCTTACACGTGTGCCGTACATCCCTCTTCAACTCTTTCTTTTTTGGAGGGAAATTTTATTTCCTATTTAAAGATTTGATTTAATGCTCATCTACCTCTTTTTTTTTGTTTGATCACTAAGGGAGGGGGTGACCCCCAATGGAGAAAAACACAAAATTTGCTTTATTTCCTAATTCTTTGTGAATTCGCAACCCGTGTCATGTTGTTAGCATAATTTTTTTCGCTTTCAGAGATAAGTTTTGAGAATCTTCCACTCATTGACGCAAGTCGATCAACAACCCTGTTGTGCTCGCGGTAGGTCAACTCAAATAATAACTCGGCATTCCTAGTCAAGCCACCTTATCGCTTCTGTAATGCAATGCTGGATAAGCCAGTGCCTAGCTCATTCATGGATCCAGTCCACAAACATTTTTACATATATATGACTGAATTTTCAGATACGTAAATTCATTTGTCCTGCCTTTAGTGTTTGACATTTTGAAAGGTAATCTAACGAAATTAATTAACCTTAATATTTTCAAAATTAAATTGCATTATAAAAAATAATGTAAGACACTAATACTAACTGAAAATATTGTTTTCAAACGAACCCACAAGTTAGAATACCCACCCTTTCAACATGCATGTCATGAAATACTCTAAGTAGTCATATTTATGTTACAATGACACATCACATTGTAAATTTAGAATTGATCTAAAATTGACATTCTAGTAGAAGAAAAAGAAATAGCACGTTTATCTTGGGTCATTCAGTTGAGTCTGATAGTGAACGAATTGTCCTTTAAACGTTCACATGAAGGTCTAGTGTATCCATCGGTTAGTTTAATTATAACCCATTTTACTTATCTTGACCATTTTATCTCAATAGAAATAGCCTACTATTTTAAAATTTCTAGAGTCACTCACATTGAGTAACATCAGATGACACTGGTTCAATTAGAACACCTATGGTACACCATTAACAAAATTAATGATTCCTATTATGATTGTGAATGAATCGAATAATTTTGATTTGATTCGTAATTCATATTTATTTGTATTGATTTTTATTAAAAAATCAAATCCAAGTCCGAATACGAATAGTATTTGTTAATCATTACACCAAGAAATATGAATACGAATGCAAATATACCCATATTTGATTTGGTCCTTAAACAAATATATTCAAAATGACGAGTCAAAATATTGAATACTAAAGAATAAATAGGGAATTCACTAGTTATTTAAAAATCAAATATACTTTTTTTTTAATTTTCATCTTCAATATGTAAATTATGAATTTATAATTCTTTTTATCAATAGCTAATTCGAAACTATATTCATACAAAGAGTTTTGGAAAAAATTGTTTACTATAATTCACATTTTTAAGAAATAAATTAAATGCTTATGAGATATCTTAAAATTTAAAAGAATTGAATATTCCAAATATTTTTAAATGAATCGAATATATTATGTACGATAAACGAATCTCTAAAAATATTCAAACCAAATATCTTAGGTACGATAAGCGAATGGAATACGAATCTCTAAAAATATTCGAGCGAAATACAAGTACAAATATCATCCAAAACTAACAAATACAAATAATATTCATTAATATTCGATTTGATTCAATTCGTTTATAACCCTAACACAACTCGACTTCTTGACTAGGGCAAACTTCAAACTTGTATACCTTTTTCCAAAATGATCTTTCTCCCCCCCTTTTTTTACGTTTATGAAATGTTTATGAAATCATATTCATATTTTTAGCATGTACTTTCTTGAACAAACAAATGCGAGAAAATGAACTAAACCCGGCATACACGAATCCAGATTCAAGAAAGCATGAACAAGAAAACAGGGNGCTTATCGTACCTAAGATATTTGGTTTGAATATTTTTAGAGATTCGTTTATCGTACATAATATATTCGATTCATTTAAAAATATTTGGAATATTCAATTCTTTTAAATTTTAAGATATCTCATAAGCATTTAATTTATTTCTTAAAAATGTGAATTATAGTAAACAATTTTTTCCAAAACTCTTTGTATGAATATAGTTTCGAATTAGCTATTGATAAAAAGAATTATAAATTCATAATTTACATATTGAAGATGAAAATTAAAAAAAAAGTATATTTGATTTTTAAATAACTAGTGAATTCCCTATTTATTCTTTAGTATTCAATATTTTGACTCGTCATTTTGAATATATTTGTTTAAGGACCAAATCAAATATGGGTATATTTGCATTCGTATTCATATTTCTTGGTGTAATGATTAACAAATACTATTCGTATTCGGACTTGGATTTGATTTTTTAATAAAAATCAATACAAATAAATATGAATTACGAATCAAATCAAAATTATTCGATTCATTCACAATCATAATAGGAATCATTAATTTTGTTAATGGTGTACCATAGGTGTTCTAATTGAACCAGTGTCATCTGATGTTACTCAATGTGAGTGACTCTAGAAATTTTAAAATAGTAGGCTATTTCTATTGAGATAAAATGGTCAAGATAAGTAAAATGGGTTATAATTAAACTAACCGATGGATACACTAGACCTTCATGTGAACGTTTAAAGGACAATTCGTTCACTATCAGACTCAACTGAATGACCCAAGATAAACGTGCTATTTCTTTTTCTTCTACTAGAATGTCAATTTTAGATCAATTCTAAATTTACAATGTGATGTGTCATTGTAACATAAATATGACTACTTAGAGTATTTCATGACATGCATGTTGAAAGGGTGGGTATTCTAACTTGTGGGTTCGTTTGAAAACAATATTTTCAGTTAGTATTAGTGTCTTACATTATTTTTTATAATGCAATTTAATTTTGAAAATATTAAGGTTAATTAATTTCGTTAGATTACCTTTCAAAATGTCAAACACTAAAGGCAGGACAAATGAATTTACGTATCTGAAAATTCAGTCATATATATGTAAAAATGTTTGTGGACTGGATCCATGAATGAGCTAGGCACTGGCTTATCCAGCATTGCATTACAGAAGCGATAAGGTGGCTTGACTAGGAATGCCGAGTTATTATTTGAGTTGACCTACCGCGAGCACAACAGGGTTGTTGATCGACTTGCGTCAATGAGTGGAAGATTCTCAAAACTTATCTCTGAAAGCGAAAAAAATTATGCTAACAACATGACACGGGTTGCGAATTCACAAAGAATTAGGAAATAAAGCAAATTTTGTGTTTTTCTCCATTGGGGGTCACCCCCTCCCTTAGTGATCAAACAAAAAAAAAGAGGTAGATGAGCATTAAATCAAATCTTTAAATAGGAAATAAAATTTCCCTCCAAAAAAGAAAGAGTTGAAGAGGGATGTACGGCACACGTGTAAGGAAATGAAAGGGGAAATTGCGCTGTCTTCTCCCATCTCATTTTAGATCAGTGCTCTGATTGACATTTGGGTTTCCGTTAACCAAAGTCTTCCATTCCATGGGGGCCGGCGTTACCAGAAATTAATTTCCTCCAAAAAATAAAAAACCATTATTTTTTTAATTTAATTTTCAATAAAATAAAAAAACAATCTTCATTTCGCAAGGGGAAAAAAAAAAAGAAAAGCTTTTCTTCGCCCCCCGCTTTCTTCACAATTCTTATCCTTTTCATGTTCTCTTTTCGGATTGATGCGTCGATGGGTTGAATTGGTTTGTGTTACTTTCTGATTCTTTTTTCTTTTCTTCTTCTTCTTTACCTTTTCCCGATCGAAAATGGCGATTCTTGCCTGGTAGTTGAATCTGGTTACATTTGGGAAATGTGTGGTAGGGAAATTCTTCCCTTTTGAGATTGTGAATGTCGATATTCTGGTTCACAACATGACCAACCGCAACATTGATGTTTCTCAGGCACGAATTCGTTTCATATCCATTTTTTTTATTCTGTTCATTTTCAGAATGTTTTGGTGTTTTGATTCAACATCAACAATTCAGCATTGTATTAGATTTATCATTGTCATTTTTTTCCTGGGTTGCAGGTAGAAGGGCCTAATAATCCACAGCCTGTTGCCTCCGGGGATCCGGATCAGTCTCGCGGGGGCAATAAGGTAATAATGGCATGCTAAATATTGCTCTTGTTTTTTTTGTTTTTCATTTCAAAGGTTCAATCCAATTTTGCCTTTCCTTGCCAGGTTTACAAAAGCGGTCCCCTGTATATATCATCCAAAGGTTTGTTTGCCCTCTTCTTTGCATTTGTATTGGGTACAAAAGGAGCTTTTCTAGGCTATAATACTACATTGCCATGGAATTTATTATATGTCTATTTACCTATGAGTTATATCTCACTCTCCAAGTTCCTTTTTTTAGCTACTATATAATTGTTTCCGAATTTCAAAGTAATACATTGCCTCCGTTTCGGTGAGCTGGGAACTTTGCTGGTAAAGCATTTGACAAGATGCTTCTGTTTACTCCATAATTAGTTGAATCTTGAGCTTTTTAGTAAAATGTTACAAACTCAAGTTTGTTAGTGGATAATAAGAAATCCAAATTAGTATATATTAGTTTGTACTATTGAATGTATAGTTGTAAGTCTTGGGTATATATGGACTTTATAATTGCTTGAATATTTGCATTAATAGCCATTTTCTGACTTTTGGCATTTGCATTCATAAAAAAATTCATTCTTTAAGATCACATGTATTAAGGTCCTCTTTGTTTTGAAACATAGTTCCTCCTGGCGTTCTTTAGCTACACTTGGGGCCAATAATTTATTCAACCAGACAGGAAATCGTGCATTAAATGAGACAAAATGACTTATTTGGTGTCTCAAAACTCAAACCTTTTCAATTTTAATTTACTTTCATTTAATCATAAAGTCAAGCCCAATCCTGTCAGATAAATGCTAAAAGATCAAATTGAACCTATTAGTTAGTTGACCACAATAACACATTGCATTAAAAAAATTCTCTTTCCCAATGGTATAAATGCTGGACTTCTCAACACTGCCTATCACATGAAAGTACGAGTCATTTCAAATCTGATGATTTTCTCAACTCAGATCAGTTAAGTGAATGGTTGTAGGAAACTTTTTTGTCATAAATTGATGTGGGTTAATATGTTTCCAAAAAAGGACAACCAGTGACAAAAAATGCAAGGTATTAAAATTGCTTAACTCTCTTTATGATACCATTTATAAGATTCTAATGAAACTTCCGTGTGTGACCAACTGCAAAAGGAAACATTTATACTGTGAAATTTGGTGGCTTCTGGAAAGGTCCTTGAACGTCCTAATTAGGAATGCATGCAGGTATTGGATGGACTTCTTGGAAGAAAAGGTGGTTCATTTTAACACGCACCTCATTAGTCTTCTTTAGAAGTGATCCTGTGCGTTTCCCTTTCTTATTTCTCAGCTCTAATTTACTAAGCTTTGTTGGTATTATTGCTCTTTACCATTGCCTGACTGATTTAGCATGTACCGCTCACAAATGCAGATCCAGTTTACCATGTAGCATCCGTATAGATATATTTCTTTCTTTGATAAACCTCCTAGACCATTAGCTTGTGATGCACACATAGACACACACACATACACACTAACACCTAGGTTTCTTACTTTCTCATTCTTTTATTTTTCATTTTTTAAACAAAATATTTGGTTGGATGTTTTAGAATGCGGTCCCATTGAAAGTAGGTGAAGCGAATTTAACACTTGGGGGTATCGATCTCAACAGTTCAGGCAGGTTAGCTTATTTTTATCATGATGCTCAACAAAGTTTACTAGCACATGCACTTTTAATCAAATTATTTCCCTTAAAGTATGCTGTCTTAATAGTTTTATCTTTTTAATCACTCATCGATTAATGTACAGTGTGCTTGTCAAAGAAGATAAGAAGCTACTGACTGTACTCTTTCCTGATGGTCGTGACGGGCGAACTTTCACTCTTAAGGTGTTCAATCTTTTTCTATGCCTTTTGTTTATTTTTTATTTTTCTTTTTTGCAATGGGATTTATTCTAATTATCTTTGTTTAGTTTGTAGCATTTTATATCTTTGTTCTGCTCAGCTCTTGTTTTCTTGTTCTCTTATTTTAATAATTTGGTAGGGATTAGGAAGTAGGAGGATATGATAGATTTCTATATTAGGATTGTGTATAATATGCCCTCTGAGTTGTTGTCTCATGTTGAGTGCTCTTGATATCTTAGGCTGAAACATCAGAAGACTTGCTTGAGTGGAAGGCTGCACTAGAAGAAGCTTTGGTAAATTCCCCAAGTGCTACTCTCATTGTGGGACAAAATGGAATAATCAGGAATGATCAAACAAATGCGGTTGATGTTTCCTCAGAACAATGTAAGTGCTTTGCTAATGTTTTCAAAGGCCAAATGACCTATCGAATGTTGTTTATTCCCTCCCCGGTATTGGCATTGCCGTTATAATTGATTTGTTCTTACTACTTTCGATAACCTTGAAGCTCTCTAATACATAAGGAAATGACAATGACTATGACAACGACGACAAACACAACAAAAAGTAGGGTGTTTACTGGGTTTGTTGTTGTTGTTGTTGTCATTTCCTTATGTACTATGACAACTTCAAGGTTGTCAGAAGTAGTAAGAACAAAAAATAAGGAAATGAAAAGATGGGTTTGCTTTTCCATTTGGAAATTCTATGTTGTGAAAAAATAATGTTTCTTTTCACTTTTTCAGATCTCATTCAATTTACATGTCATATGAAGTGCAACACTTACAAGAAGTAGTGCCCAAATCAAGTTCAATACACATGTTTTTATTTGTAGCTTTGTACTCCAAAATACTTTCAGTTTCAATTCTACTTTTTTCTCTTACCATATAGGATGACTTCTAGTAAAAGTGGGCTTGGTTTTGTTTTCTACAAAACAATGTTATTTCCTGCAAACATATACTACGGTATTAGATTCAGGAGCTTTCCTACAAAAAATCATCTTTTAGAATCATGATATATAGCTGTTTGACTGCAATGAATTTCTCCTGGTGATTCAGTTTGACTGCTATGCATTTTTCAAAATGTACACGATTATTGTTACCTTACAGTTCTACTTGTCGAAAATGATTTTTCTTAAGTGTTTGAATATATTTCTTATGGATATAAATTCAAACCACATTCTTTTTCACTCTGTAGCCAAGGACAAATCACCTGTGAAATCTTTGGTCATTGGTCAGCCAGTTTTACTTGCTTTGGAAGGTATAGATGGGACTCCGTCATTTTTGGAGAAAGCTCTTAGGTTTGTAGAAGAACATGGTAAAGTTTCCTGGTGCTTTTATGCCTTTATTTTCTAAAAACGTATCCCTCTCTTTATTTCAAGAGACCTAAACTTGCTTTAGCTTGATGTTGGTGTCATGTATCTTCAGCAAAATAAAAATACTGTTTCTTATGTATTTGAGGAAGGCTATCTTGAGCATTTAAAGGTTGCCAGTGGCTCAGCGCTTAAATGAAAATCTAATTGTAAATTTGTAACTAAACAGTTCTTAGTCAAGTCACCCTGCATGACTACTTCAAAGCACTCAACTTAGCCAAAACAGAAACAAGACAACAACTGTACAATGCAGATGTTGAGCTGAAGCACTAACCATAGTTTCTCTTAAAAAGGAGACCTGCAAAAAAGATATAAAGAATTTTCATGCTCCTTGTGTGAACTTGATCTGACTATGGGTTCTAGGGACCTAAGCATAACCTGCCCTTTTCTTACTTAGAGGCTGTCGTAAAAATTCTAATGATGAAAGTGACTGCTTAGGAAGCTATTTTTTTTAGAAACGAATTCTCAAACTGTCTTTATTAGTTCTATATTTTGTTTCTTATATGCATATTGTTAGATGATGATGGATTCAATACATTATCTTTCAGGAGTTAAAGTTGAAGGTATCTTGCGGCAAGCCGCATATGTTGATGATGTTGAGCGTCGGATCCGAGAGTATGAAAAAGGTCTGACTTTGCAATTTGCTTCTAATCGACGCTTTGGGGTTTTGTTGGTAAATGATTTATAATAAAGATATGGTAGTATAGAACTAGATGGGGGAGTTTTGCTTTAAAAGTGCATTTAAGCTGCTTAAAACTATACAAATCATGCTTGGAAAATGGATCTTTTGAAAAGTAGTAGCTGGGTGTGGTGTTTTCCAGGGAAAATTGAGTTTTCTGCCGAAGAGGATGCACATGTCATAGCTGACTGTGTCAAGGTATAACCTTTTATGAAAATTATAATTGATGTGTATGTCAAATATTTGTATAGACTTTTCTCATCTTTAATATTTTTATTTGCTCCAGTATATACTCCGGGAGTTACCATCATCTCCAGTTCCTGCATCTTGTTGCAATGCTCTGTTAGAATCTTGCCGTAAGTTTCTCTCCATTTTTCCATTACGAAATTATCTATTACAGAGTCTAGGCATGTGTTATGTTTTTACAGAATAAAGTAGAGATAATTGTGATGGAGGATGATTAAGTTTTGGCTAGAATGGCATAATTTGTTGTATTTTTACCAGGCTGGGCTGCACACAGACTTGCATCTTTTTGTTTAGTTTGACATACGTCAAATTCTTTGTAGAAACCAAATTAATGTACTATTAAGTTACATCCATTGCCAATGTAGATAAAAGAGTCAATTTCAATAAAGTTTTAGGTTCGGGGGTAAAATGGACTAAATCAAAATCACACATTAAACCTAGCTTGCCCTTTACTTTCTATGAAGACAATGAACACATCACAGGTCTAACAAAAACAGCCTCCCTGATTTTTATAGGGGTAACACAGCTCATGTTCACAATCCTATTTTGACTGCATGTATTATATGTTACTTTTAAACTTAGTGATGGGAAATCTGGAGTATAGTAGTCAGGCCTTGAGATTGCTGTACACATCGTATAGTGTTTTGAATTTAAAAAGATGGTTGCATCTGTATACTATATCAGATCTTTTATTAATTAGTATTAACTTAATAATTTTATATTTATTACTGTTAGGAGTTGAGCGTGGTATGAGAGTAAGTGCTATTCACTCAGCTATACTGGAGACTTTTCCTGAGCCAAATCGACGTTTATTACAAAGGTGTCATATATATTAATTTGATGCCTTTCATTTTCTTGCTCATTTTAATACCTTGTGCATATGGCAAGAAAGCTATTAAAGGTCAATATACAGACTCTACAGAGCATTCTTATTTTATTATTAGTGGTTGTAGAGCTCAACTGAGAGATTTTACTCGTTTACACCTCTATCAAAAACACTAACATTTCTTGCTCGAATATACTAGATATATGCTGTTGGGTTTCGGCGTATACTTTTGTTTTGATTATTTTCCTTTTTTACATTTGACTTCAAGCACTAAATTTTGAAAAATAAATCTTGCCTTTGTGGACCAGAATTCTTGTAATGATGAGAAATGTGGTTTCTCACAAGAACGAGAACCGGATGAGCACTTCAGCTGTTGCTGCTTGCATGGCGCCTTTGCTACTGCGTCCTCTATTATCTGGAGAGTGCGAACTTGAACATAACTTTGATATGGGTGGCGATGGCTCTATTCAACTTCTGCAAGCAGCTGCCGCAGCAAACCATGCTCAAGCTATTGTCATCACTTTGCTAGAAGAGTATGATAAGATTTTTGGGGTATGGTTTATAATAAGTCAGTTATTTTATGCATCTCTAAAGTCTTCACACATATCTTGAGATCGCTCTTTCTTCCATGCATGGTAATACTTTTAGTGTCTGCTTTATTTCCTTTCTTTACATGTGATCAACTATCATTTGAACTGGTCGCAGGAAGGCTCTGTGCAAACTGAACTCTACTCTGACTCAGATGGTAGTGAAAGCGGTAGTGAAGAAATTACTGATGATGATGGAAACTATGAAGGTAGTGATTATGATGATGACAACGAAGAGGAAGAAGATGAAGAAGGGGATAGTGCTGAAGAGGGGTCTGATGCAGAAATAACAAATAATTCTGAGCACGCATCTAGAGCTACTAGTCAGACTGGTGAAAATGAAGGTGCTAGCAAGGTTTGTTCATGTTACCCTCATCGTATGACATAGAGGCCTATCAAGTCATCCATGGTAGTCATCTAGTTATCATGTGTGGTATAATCGGGTATCTCTCTCTGGGAGTTTTTTAAAATCTTGAAACCGAACGATAGTTTAGCTATCGATCAATGGTCAATATATAAAGTATCGATTTAGGAACTGAATGATTGAAACTTCCTAAGGCTAGAATTTTGTGAATTTTTAATCATTTTGTTAATAATTGAGAAGAATTAAGAAGAATAACATTTCTGTTATTGATTTCTGAATCCAAGTATGGGATATCTTCTAATTATGGAAAACATCAAATCCTACCATAACTCTTTTCCTAATACCACCATAAGTCATTCTCAAAATAAAAAGAACTTCTAAACTATGGAAGGAAATAAATGCAAATAATATAATACTCTGCTACGTTAAACACATTTTATATTTAATAAAGTTGTAAATTGTTAATGAAATTTTTCACGGATTATATATTAAATGCCGAAAATTCACGAGTTTTCAAGTCTATTGATAATTTCAATCATTCAGGGCCAAAGTTTTCATCTTTCAAATCTTGAACTGATTGGGGGAGAACCTATCTTTGGTTCGTGGTTGGTCAAACAATAATTTAAACTCTTATGCCAATTGCCAACGTATAAGTTTTGCATTTCAAAAGGTGTATGTTTATAGAAGAATGTTTCGAAGACTAAAAGGCAAAAGCAAAAAAAGAAAGAAGATAAAATTTAAAAATATCATGCTTTCTGTCAGAGCATCAACATTCAGTCTCAGTTATGTCATTCGTTTAGCATGTTAATCATAGATTTCATTACTACTTTTCATTTTGCAACCATTCTCTAGTATTCCAAAACTTATTGTGCTACAGGTCTCTAGTCCCAAGTCACCTGAAGCATGCAATGCTCTTGAAGTTAATAACAAATCTCAACCAGTAGCCCTTCAAACATCTGTAAAGCAAGAAACACCTACGAGGCCAGAAACTGAACCCAAGGCAGAAAATGCAGATTCGTCCCCTTCTAAAAAATCTACGGATGCATCTCATGTGAGTACTAAGATATCTTTTAGATGACATTTACTATCTCCAATGAAGTCCCAATCTTGTTCTCATTTCTTCGTCTGTTCATGCCCTATTTACTTGGGTGTATACTATTCATTCCCATTTTTTCTTTTGTTTAAACTGTACAACAACAACAAATCCCAGCATAATTCCAACTCCATTGGGGTCTGGGATTCAAAATGTATGCAGTCTTACCCCTTTAAAACAGAGTGATTGTTTTTTTTGTTAAACCCTTGATGCATTGTTGTATTTACTATTTACTACTCAAAACTTCATTGAAGGTAAAAAGCAAGGTAAATTTTATGTCATTTGGATTTAGTCCAAGATTCTCTTTCTTTAACTTCTTTAACTCCATTGTCATTTTAGATTGTACTGTTTCTTAATGTAAAATCATGTCTAGTACCTCACTGTTTTCTAGGTAAGTTTTCACATTTGAACTACTATTGGTAGAAATGGTCTTCATGTTTTAGTCTTTCCTTCAACACAGGCCAAGAAGAACCACTCCGTGGAATCTGTTAATACCCCCCTTGATGATGAGTAAGTGATTCTCTTTTTAGGAAAGCTATTGTGGATTCAAACTATGATTCTTTTGCAGCTCACCACCTTTTATATCGTGTTAGGCTAACTATAAATTTTCGTGGACTTTTCTCACTTGTCTATAAATGCTGGTGATGTTTAGATTTATCTTCATCTAGATCTTTATGAACTAAATTGCTTTCTAGGATGTTAGGTGCCTTGCATTGAATATAAAAATCAATTTAGTATTCAGAATTGGTATTGTTGGTAGAATGTGACAATTCCATCTATTTGCAGCAATATTTAAAAAAAAAACAATCTTCTTGTACAATCTCTCTCCTTTATTTGTAATCTTCCACGAGCTCTTCTCATCTGCACCAAGACACTGACAAGAATTTTGATATTCTGTTTCTATCGTTTCTTTATTTTAGTGCTGAAATCCAGAAGCTTGAGGCCATGAATACTGACTTACGAAACAGAATCACCAAAGAGGTATCCATCATTTTTCACTTAGAGACTTCATAGGCTCTTCATTAAAGATTTTTTTTTTAAAATTTTATTTTATTGCTCATGCTTTGGTATTGCAATTTTACCTTGTCTTGATAGGCTAAGGTGAATGCAGATCTTCAAGAAAGTATGGAGAAACAGAAGAATACCTTGCATGAGCGCCGTCTAACTCTAGAGAAAGAAGTATGTTGTTTCATCTAGTGCTTCTTTTCTTTCTGAACAGAGTACTTTTTTCTGTAGACATGAAGTGTTTCTATTATTATTGCTTTAAGCACTAAAATGCCAAAAGTAAACATTCTTTTTTTCCTATGAAAAACACGAATTCTCTTGTAATAAGTTATATCCCAAACGCTCTCTTGGTAGAATGGTGCAATGTCCGAACGAAATGAATAGAAGTAGCTATATTTGGCAAACAGAAACAGGTTCTACTATAAATCCAAATTGAAAGAATATATTTATTTTTTCCTTTTCTGCTTGTAATAACCAGGTTGCAAGGCTTCAGGATCTATTGGAGAAGGAACAGGAGCTGAGGGTGATACTGGAAGCCAGACTTATCAATCCTCAAGGATCATTGTCCATACCTTCCAGTATCAGCAAAGCTGTCAGTTCATACCCCATCTCCATCCATTGTTACTATGCTAAGACCAGAAACTATAACAGTTTTCGTTGTTGCCTGCAACAGGTGAAAGCAAAGCTGGAAGAGATTGCTCAAGCCGAGGCAGATGTTATGAATTTGAAACAGAAGGCCGCTGATATCGAAGCAGAACTCAATGAGCAGAGAGAACACAACTCCAGGTTTCATATTGATTCGGGGAATCAAGCGCGCCAAAAAACGACTCATCAAGGAAAAATGTAATGTCATCATTATCATTCCCTTGGGTTGGTTCTCTATGTTATTTTTGCCATTCATGTTCACTCCCACCACATCTACCTCCCAAATAGAAAAAATCCATTCAAGGGTCCGTTTGGTAGGAGTTCTTTTTCAGCCTAAACGAAAACCAGTTTAAGTCAAACGCTGATTAATGCTACCAAACGGGACCTGAAAAGAGGAAAAAAGTTTGGAGTCGCATTTTAATACCGTCTCCTTTTTTATTTGGGCTGCTGATGACTTTCTCTCCATGTGGCTACAGAAAGGAGAAAGCAGAAAGTGACAGGGACAAGAAAAGTGAAGTTCAGCCATCAGCGAATAAACCGATGCTGAATTTTAACTCTCCTGCAGCTTCATTCGCTGCCTCTGTTGAATCTTTGCTGGCTGTGAAGGGGCCTTCCTCTTCTTCTTCTTCTTCATCAACCAATTCCAAGAAATCTGGCTCGAAAAATGAGGCATGCTTTAAACATTCATCTTTTCTTTTTTGGGTTAATAAATTGCACAATTTATTTTTTGTGAATCATATCTTTATAAACATCTTTGAATGACTGGCAGGGGGCGACAGCGACTTCAGCACTGTCAAAGCTAACGAACCGGCTCAACTTCTTGAAAGAACGCAACACTCAAGTTGGAAATCAGGCCCAACCACTTGACAAGGAGAGGAATTCTGGGCAGCCTGCCTGGTCGATTGAGAGAAAAGGGTCAGACCCTCCCCCATCCTTGCAAAACATATTCGAAAGCAGCCCTTCTTCATCAGAACATAGAGACCCAAACAGCAACCAAGCTGCTGTACAGAATGTGGATGGTCAACAATCACTTCAAACTCCTCAAGATACATCAAGGAGCTCAGATGGGCTTAATACTAATAACAACAACAATAATAGTAGTAATAACAACAACAATTATAATAGCAACAACAACAACAACAACAATAATAATATGGACCGTGATAAAACAGAAAGTTTCCCTGAGAAAAGCCGAAATAAGGTGCCCCCTAGGACAGCTTCCAGATGATACACCTTGGTGATGCTGAAGCCATTCCTTTTGGTTTTTGGTTTTCTTTTTTTCTTGCATTAACCACATTATAGCATCTGATGTATTTGTTCGGGGACAACAACACTGGAAGATGATTAGCAAGCTTTCCAAATTTGTTGTCCTTGAACCATTGCACCAGCTTCCATTCCATTCCCTGCTGGTGCTGAATGAGTATATATGTCTGGAGCAAAGCGTGGTGCCCTTTTTTGGGTGTAGCAAAATGCCTATTGGATCAATAGAGATTCTAATTTTTGTTGGTTTTTGTTTTCAAGTACAGTTAGATATAGTGGCTCACGCTCATTATCAAATCTTTGTTTCAAGTGTTCCTAGAATCTTGAAATGCTGACACGAAGAGCCTTTGTAAAGAAAGACATGTTCTCATTTTTGTCTTTTGATATGTATGTATAGCTTCATCCATTTCCACAACTTCCATTCAGCCATGTCCAATTGTATGTAGTATGTATGCCACTTGTAGCTATCACTTTGCTTTTCCTTTTACATTATACATTGTACTTCACATGTCTTTTTTGTAAATTTGGTTTATCATGTTTTTATTAAGAGAATGTCTAATTATTTTTTTAAGAGAAAATATAAAGAAACATTAGTCATCGAAGTTTGTTTTGGTCCCCAATGTCACAAGCCAAGGACTATAATTTTGTTTTACACTTCCATAAGCATGTAGTTTGTCTTATTCTTTTAAAGTTGAAAAAATTGATTAAATTAAACTTGATAAAAATTGAACTGGTCAAAATTTGAAACAATGAAAACCATTCTACCATAGGAGGTTCGATTGGTGACTTATAAGCTTTGTGCTTAATCCATCTAAAATGATAAATTTTTAGGTGCATCTAATAATTTATATGAACTTTAGATCCTATATAAACATTTTAAAAATATAATAATAACCATTTATTTATCCATTTTTAATCAATTTACTTACTCCTTATATATGAAGATTGATACTCCCTTTGTTCACAATTTATATTTGATCGAATTTATTTTTTATTCATTTTATATGAAAATTAGCGTGTAATTAAAAATTGAAATAATGTGTTTAAAAACTACCCGAGTACATTAAAAGATCTACTAGTACAAACCTAGAAGTGATGTATTTAAACTTTGTACTCATAATATTCTATCAAATGAGCAACAAAGATTAGTAAATAAAGTGAATAAAGTTTTACTATGCGAATATTGAACTAAAATATGGTTTGTTAACAGATGGAGTAAATTATTATATTAATCTAAGATTTCCAGTAAAATACCCCTACGGTCCTGAAATTGATTGTAATTTTTTTTTCTCATCATTCGATAATTTTTGTTTATTTGTGTATTTCTATTAATTATTTGATAAAATAAAATTTTGCGTCATCTCTTATTTTGTAGAAATTTTGACGTTATTTTTTAATGTGTAAGTTTTGTTTTTTTTTTCTTATACTAATTTTTAAATAAAATATTTTCGAAAAAGTATATGAGAGGTCAAAATCAACCAAAATTGTCAAAAAATAACTGAAATCAATTTTCTCAAATCGGTTTAAACTGTTCTCTACAATTTTCGATGTTAACTACAAAAGCTCATCGATTTTAGTTTTGACTAAATTTCCAAAGAAAAAGGCAGAGACTTCCGGACACAAGAGAAACGGAAATCCAGTAAATAATACGCCGCCACCTTACTACCCGGTAACTTTGGTGACTTCAAGAATCTCTGGCACGAGAATGGGGAAACACCCAAATGCATCATCATCATCATCATCATAAAAAGCATCTCTCTTTCTATTTTAGTTTGAATCCTTATTTGCTTCCCCAGATCTCCCACTGACCGCCGCCGCGCGCCGCCCTCACTGAACTTCTCCGGCGTGTTTGGGACGAGCTTAAGAAGATGGGGTCTGTTTCTCTGAAAATCGGAGACGGGACAGCTAGATTCAAGAAAAGGGCTTCCCTTTGCTCATCAGCTGTGAATCTTCTCATGATCTTCTCCGTCCTCACCACCAATCTCTTCGCTCTATACGCTTTCACTCACCAACCAAACAAGACCCATCAGCTCCTTCACCAAACCCACAATAACATCTCCGTACAAGTCTCCCTCATCCTCAGTGAGATCGATTCGACCCAGAAGAAGGTTGCCCACATCCAGAAAGAGCTTCTAGGTTATGAAAGCATCGAACTTTCTAAGCCCAACATCGCCCCTGAGCTGAGGATGTTCCTGCTTCGTCACCAGCTTCCCCTGGGCAAAGATTCGAGAACTGGGATCACTACAATGGTGGCTTCTGTGGGTCATTCTTGCCAGAAATCCATAGATTTGCTCTCTAAGTTCATGAGCTATAAGGTCAGTGGGCCTTGCCCGGATGATTGGAGTCTTGGTCAGAATCTGATTTTGAAGGGCTGTGAGCCTCTTCCGAGGAGGAGGTGCTTTTCAAAGATTACCCCTAAATCTGGTTTACAACCTTTTCCCATTTCTATTTGGAAGGCTAGCAATAGTGAAAAGGTTTACACTTGGAGTGGCCTTTCTTGCAAGAATTTCGCTTGTTTGAATGCTAAGAAATTGAATAGAGACTGTGCAGGTTGCTTTGATATGTCCTCTGGATATGAGACTCAGAGATATGTTAAAGCTAAGGGCAAGAATGACTTTTTGCTGGACGATGTGCTTTCGATGGGGGGTAACAATGGTGGAATCAGGGTTGGGTTTGATGTGGGTGGCGGCGGGTCTGGAACATTTGCAGCCAGAATGGCTGAGAGGAATGTCACTGTGGTTACTTCCACTTTGAACATAGATGCACCTTTCAATGAGTTCATTGCTTCCAGAGGCCTTTTCCCACTTTATTTGAGTCTGGATCACCGGTTCCCGTTTTACGACAATGTGTTTGATTTGGTCCGCGCCGGGAATGGGCTGGATATAGGTGTCAGCCCAGCAGAGAAATTGGAGTTCTTGATGTTTGACATTGATAGGGTTCTCCGGGCCGGCGGCTTGTTTTGGTTGGACAATGTGTATTGTTATGGAGACCAGAAGCGAAATGCGTTCACTAGGTTGATTGAGAGATTTGGGTACAAGAAGTTGAAATGGGTTGTGGGGGAGAAGAGCGACAGCGGGTCCCAAAAGCCGGAGGTGTACCTATCTGCTGTCTTACAGAAACCGGTTAGAGTTTGATGATGAAAATCATGAGTAGTTTCTTCGTAGCAGTAGATTTCTATGCAATGCCAAAATCGCCAATGTGAGAGGTAACAATTCGTGTACTAATTCCGGAATTATTTTGCAGCTTAGAATAAGTGTTATGCAATGGAATGTTACTATGGAAATGGTAACTTGACATGGATGATCAGTTCTTGATATATGTGATTTTAAGAAGGGTGTTTGATTAAACATTTAGTACATCCGTTCACATTTAACTGACCATTATGACTTTTATGGTACACCAAAAGTAGAATGAACACGGACATACATCATGTCTACATTGTATTACATGGTAGAATTCCATAGATTGATTAATTGAAGTGCATTTTAGATGAATGAACAACCTCATCATCACTTTTATCCCATATTTGGAAATTCCCAATTACGTAATGTTTAATTGTCTTGAGTTATTAGCTAACATCATACATTCATGCAAAACAAGCTGCTAAGTTCTTACCACCCTCAACACGGGAAAAAAACATTTAGGGAGTGTTTGGCAGGAAGGAAATGGTCTCTCCCAAAAAAAACCATTTTACCGTTGTCGTTATCTATCAAGCTTCCTATTATGGTGGCATTAGTTTTTCTCTATGCATCCTTCTTCAATCTTCGCCACATAAAAAGAACAAATCTTTTGAGCTCAATTGGACACAATTTCCAACGCGACGGTTTTCCTTTGCGGGGTAGAGAAATTCATGCTTAGCCAACCGAACCACCTCATCCTTTGCAGCCTCATGATTCTTTGTTATATGCCCTTTTTCCTTGTCCAAACCAAAAAAAATCCATTAAAGAAAAACATCTCAATAATCCCCCTCCTAGAAGTTGTGTGTGCCTCCTAGCTCTTCTTCCCCCCCTCCTCCTCGCCTGCCTCCCTTCTCCAATCGGTGCTTCGATGGAGTTTATCCATATGTGAAAAAAAAGAGAAAAAGAATAACCCAAAAACATCATCAATCTGGAAACCTTAAAAAGGAAGGCAGTGTGTAGCTTTAGGAAATGGAGTTGCAGAGGTTAAAAGATCTGTTGGTTCTCTGTTTGAGGTCTCACAACAATCCTGTTTCCCTTGTGGGTGGTAATCACACCGCTGCCAGGTTTTGCACCCGCTAATTTCATCGTCTTCTCCAGCTTTCCTCCCACAAATTTCTCTGCTTCGATTTCTTTCTTTCTTTCTTTCTTTGAATTTTCAAGTCTCCCTATAGATTTATTTGCAAGTCTAGTCTAGAGATATTTATATACTATTAATAATTAACAATGGGTTTGAAAGAAATGGAAATGGGTCTTCTCTTTGATTCCCAATCAAACAACCAGAAGAAATTGATTTATGGCCTCCCTTCTCCTTCCCCCGTCGCCAAATGTTGCGATCCTCGGTTTCTGAGGCTGGTTGCTCGTTCCGTTGTTTTGGCGGTTATTATGGTTTCTTTTCCTTGGCTGAATGTATCATCATCATCGTCGTCGTCGTCGTGGTCTAATAATCTGAACCACGCCTTTAATGAGGGTATCGTCGAAAAGCACGACCGTGTTGTTCTGGTTACTAGTAGTGACAGCAGCAATGATGCTGACAGCAGCATCATTGCTGCGGTTACTGGTAGTGACAGCAGCAATGATGCTGCAGTTGCGGCGTGTGATGATGATGTCATCAGATGCCGCAACGGTCTGAAGGGGCGGCGGCTACTGGCGGCGACGGAATCGGACGCCAAGGCCGCGGCCCTCGAGAGGCTTGAAGACGTCCTGCTTGAGCCGCCAAGGGCAGCGTCGGGGAAATCAAACGCGTACCGGAAGAAGACGAGGTACTTGCCGGAGCTGATGGGCGTCTCCTTGGAGAACTACCCAAGGAGGGTGTTCATCGACGTGAGCTACCTGTCCGGGGAAAAGAGCGCCGCCGCGGCTGCCGCGTCGGAGTGGTTCGCGAAGCACTACCCCGCGGGGAACGCGGAGTTCGAGACGTTCCAGATCGAGGCGGTCGCGGGGGCGGAGTCGCCGCCGCCGGAAGGCCAGGCGGGGGGCGGGGGGATGTCGGAGTGGCTGAGGAAGAACGTGGAGGAGAAGGACTACGTGGTGATGAAGACGGTGGCGGAGGTGGCGGAGGAGATGGTGAAGAGCAGGGCAATCAGGCTGGTGGATGAGCTTTTCTTGGAGTGCAAGCATCAGGGGATCAAGAAGGGGGGTGAGAAAAGTAGGAGGGCATATTGGGAATGTTTAGCTTTATATGGTATGCTCAGGGATGAAGGTGTTGCAGTCCACCAATGGTGGGGTTAAAATATTATTACCCTTTTTTTATTGAGTACTATATATATTTACTGCCAGTACCAATTTATGGTTATGTAAAAAAACTGTGAGAGGGTTTGTTTGTTATGTGACATTTTTTTAGGCCTGAAAGAAAAAAGGTTATCCCTGTTTTCTATGCTTCTTTTTGAGTTCCGTATATTTATGAGAAATTTACCTATATAGAACTAAAACATAATAATGACTTTCCGAATATAGGACCATATGTTTTTATTTCTCAATGTAAGACTTTTGGTCATTATGAGTTAGTCATTATTCATGGTAAATGCCCATCATTTCTGGACATTATTCTTCTCACTGATCATCATTAAGTCCTATTTAGGGAATAAAAAAGTTTAAGTCGTACATTGAGAAATGATTTATGTTTTAGTCCTATTTAGTGCAAATTTCACTATATTTATTGTCCAAAACCTTTGGTTCGTTACTGGAGTTATTATAAATTATGAGCTTTTTAACTAAAGTTTCTTAGTTATATTAGTTATATTTGTGAGGTGAAAAATCACATAATTTAAACTCAAAATTTTATTTCTCTTCTTTTACACCATTTTTTACCCCAAAAAAAGGATAATAATTTTAGGTGCAGACCCGACAATTGTTATCTGTAACGCCTTGGTGTCAAAATTTAAATTGTGTCATAATATTTGTCCCAAACTCATCTAGGTAAATTTTTCCATGGTTTTAGTGTATTGACATTGTAAAAGAATTGAGCTTTTGATAAAAGGGAAAATATCCACTTGTCAGCTTCTAAGAAGTATGAAAAGGTTTATATTTTATATAAAGATTTTAGAATTACGAAATAACTCAACCAAATATAATAATATACGGAATACCCGTATATTTTCAAATAGACCCGTGTCATATTATGATCAGATTTGTAAAAGTCAAATTTGGTTGGGCCTTTGGGGGGATGAAATGAATGTAAATATACTCCGTATTATTTATGTGAAAGAAGTGAATAATGAACTTTGGTGCGTAAATATAAGAAAATTAGGGTGGAAATATCATTCTTCAAGATAATGATCTGGTTTTTTTCCTTCTTTATTTGTCTTGCTTTGGACAATCAATGATAGATTGATATTTTTTTCCTTCTTTAACTTATCTTTTTCTTAACTTTTTGAGATTTCTGATAACTTTTATTGTATACGGAGTATGTGTTTTCGTTATAATTTGATAAAATAACAATGATGATTTTATAAAATAAAATAAGTATGTCATCACTTGTTCTGCATTGTAATCCTCCGTATTTTTTGTGTAATTTGATATTCTCTCCATCTCAAAATAATTTTTTAGTTACTATTACGACATTTTAATAATTTATGTTTCTATGTATGTTTTTATTGTTCAGTTGATAAAAGAAAATAAGAAAATTTACCTAGAATATTTGTAACTTTTCAGGTTTCTTAAAAAAATTTTCATCAGTCACTTAATGTATAACAATTTCAAATTTACTAAAATTTGTAAGTTTTGGATCATCGTAAAACTACTAACGACTAGTTAACGGAGGCCTGTTTTGCACTATAAAAAGAAAGTTGGTATTATTTTTTAAGAATTTTTGTTTTTTTTTTTGAAATTTTCTCTTAAATTTTTTAATTGAGTTTCTACCTCCATTATTTATTTTTCTCTTTTTAATGAATAGTGTTACATTAAAAAAATTAAAAAACTCATATAAAAAATAATAAAAATGAGAAAACAACTAAAACCATTAAAAATTAATGTAATAAATTTTTACATTTTAGCATTGTACAGAGCATTAATGTATTGCTTTCTCTCATTGGTAAAAAAATTAAAATAAAAATAAAAAACAAGAAATAAAAAATCTTATTAAAACCCTAAAAATGGGAATTAAAATTAAATATAAGAAATAAAAACATATTTTCTTCAACGTAATTTCATTTTAATGATTTCTTAATAGGAAAATTATTTGTTTTATTTCTTTAAGGTTTTAATAAGGAAATAAATTTTTTTGTCAAGGAATTAATTCAACCAAAACCTCAAGCTTGTAGTTCTGGCTCAGAAAAGATTGTTTATACTCTAACACACCTCCTCACATGCTGGCGTAGGCTTTTTTGAGCCTTGCACGTGAAACTTTAATTTTTTTAAACTGGAAGGTGTTACATTTCGAACATGTGACATCTTAGTCAACAAGGCTTCAATACCATATTAAGGAACCGATTCAACCAAAAACTCAAGTTTGTGGTTGTGGCCTAGGAAAGATTATTTATACTCTAACATTTTTATTTTTATTTTCATATTTGACCTACAGGAAAAGTGATACATTAATACTTCATATAGTGCATAAAATGTCAGAACTCATCATTCCATATATTTTAATTTTATTTCTTACAACTTTGAGGTTAATTTTTATTAATTATCTTATTCATTTGATTAATTTTGTTTGATTTTAGTTGTTTTTCTCATTTTCCTTATTTTTGAAAAAAATGAAGAGAAATGATGGAGGTAGAAAGTCATTTTAAAAATTTAAGGTAAAAACTCAAAAAAAACTAAAAAAATAAAAATGAAAATTCAAAAAAATAATTTCAACTTTGATTTTTTTATGTAAAACATGTCATTTTGCTAATCAGCTTAACGACGACTCAAAATTTGTAAATTTCAATGTGGTTGTGATTATAATATATCATAGTGAAAATTTAGATTATTTTTTGAAGACCGAGTAAATTAAAGTTGGGATCAATAAAATATACTCCATATAATTGTCATCTTTTCTTTTGTTGATGTAGTTTTTAATGGTGTAATTTGTATTTTTATTTATATGCCAATTTATAAATAAATTTATTTTAAAAGAAATAAAATTTTGCACATTCTTCCAAATGGAAAAAATAAATCTGGATGGAAGGAGTATGTAATAGATCCAAATTATAAATAAAATCAATTTTTTAAAAGATCCAAATTTTATTTATATGCCAATTTATAAATAATTTTTTTTATTTCTAGACTAATTTATAAATAAAATCAATTTTTTAAAAGATCCAAATTAAAATTTATACGATGATTTAGGATTTAGGAACGAAGAGTGAAGTCCATGATATTATTTCTTTGGTACACCTCAGAAATTGCCCCTTAAATTAGCAAATTCACAGTTTAATTATCTTATTTTTATAAATTTTAACGGAATATTTGTTAGGCCATATTCTTCTCAACATGCATTTTATTTCAAATTATTCTAGATACTTGTTGGCAAATTTCATTTATCATACTTATGACTCTAATACCATTTTCTAGATATTAAAATATTTTATTTTATCAAATTAAATAAGTGAAATTTGCACTAAATAGGACTAAAACATATGGAGTTAAAAAAAAATTTGGACAAAGGGAGATAGTATTTTATTACACCAAATTTAGAAACGAGAATTTAAAAATTGTATAGCTTAAAGAAAATACTATTGTAAATCGCAAGTCTATTTCTTAGCAACAAAATTAAAAAAAAGAAAATTTATTTTGTTGAGAAGATAAAAACATTAAAAATACGAAAATGATTTTGGAAGAATGGATTATGCTTCCGCTATGTTTGGTTAAAAGAATTAATGAGGAAAAGAAAGGAAATGATTGTTCCCCTTTTCCTAACCAAATTGGAAGAAGGGAATTTATTTTTTCCTCCCTATAGCTTATTTCTCCTCTCATTTCTTTTCTTTCCATTTTTCTTCTTTTTTCCTCTTAACTACACAAGAAAAATTATTTTTCATACTCCCTCTGTCCCAATTTATAGTGTCTGTTTCGGTTTACGATGTTTGACTGAAATTATTTTCAAATCATTTTATATGAAAAATGGTATAGATTTAAAAAATAAAAATTCATATTAAAATACAATATCAAAAGATCTATAAAACTAGTAGTAACAATAATACTTTATTTTACTAAATTGCTAATGAAAATAAAAAAAAGTGAATGAATTTTGACTTTATAAATAGTGAACAGATACTATAAATTAGGACGGAAGAAGTCTCAATTTTTCTTTTCCCATCAAATTCTTTGAACGAAGTACAAGTGTGAAAGAAGACAATTTGGATAATAAAGACGTAATTAAGTCCTTTTCTTCACACGTTCCCCTTGTCTCCTTTTTTGACTTGTACTTCAATATATCAATTCGTCCTTTTTCATTTTTTCTATCTGCTCTATTTGCTTGCATAGATAACTCAACCAATCTAAGTAGAAGATGTTAAGTTTATTGATCCTGAAGTCTTCTTGTACGCACCAGGCACGGGACGACTTTTCGAAAGACTATATTAAGATTATACCTTAATTTATCTCCCTCGCAATCCTGTCGAGTCAAAGTGGAAACGCACGGGGTGAGCGCTCCACCTCGTATCCGCTCTCCCTTCCATCTTAAACTTGGGCTATACTCCATATAAATAATGTATATATAGGTTTAAGTTGGTCTCATTTATTTAGGAGTAAAATACTAAAAAAATATCAAAATAGAAGCTTCATATTTTATCCCAAAATATAAGTTTATACTGTGGTAATGTGGTATTGTATATAGACAGTTCACAATACTTTTTGGTAATGTATATGTATTTTAAATTATTTTATATGTATTTTAAATTCCATTTCGAAAATAAAAACATAAAACTTGTATTTTAGTATATTTTTGATGTTTTACTCATACTTTAATCTTTTTCCTTTCTCATTTAGCAGCCCTCATGCATGTTAAAAGTAAGATTTTACATTATGTTCATTTGTAAAAACCAAGGTTATACATAGGACCAATGGTTATAAATTTTTTGCAAAAAAATAAAAAGTAAGACTTAGTACTCCGTACTATTGTTGTTAACAACTGATTTAATTTGTTCTCTCGGATAATGAAAAGGAGATAATATTGTCCAAATCTATATATATTTTTCAAAGTACATTTGGTTGTTTTGGAATATTATTTAATGATCATTAGCTTAGTATAAAAAATCAAAAGAAAATGAAGAAAAGGATTGAAAAAAAGTTGTACTCGTAATATATAATGCTTTCTTTAATTTCATTATATATTGATTGTTGTTTGTAGCGCCGTCACCCTTTAATTTGTTGACCCTTGATAGTGACGTGTGAAGAATCGAATATCTATATATGGATTGAATAATATGAAGAACCATGCTACAATT